CAAAATTAAAACATTATTACAATTTTAATATCATTATGACAATATAAAAAATAGATAAATTTGGAACAAATACATTGAAGATGAAGACAAAACGTCTGAATTTGGTTCGGGCCGAGGCAGTACAGTATTGAGGGTCATGAAGGCTTGCAAAAAATGTAATAAAATTTCCATGGTCATATTTAAAAAAATGAAGTTGATTATGGTCCTGAAGGGACGAAACGTTACATATAAAAACTTATTATGCCATTCGACAGAGGGCAAAAAGTTTCAATGAGAAAGAGTTCTTCTTTCTTCAATATCACCTGAAACAATCCTGAAATCAAACAAAAACGAATTTCCAAAATTTCGGTTTGTTTTCAAATGTTTCAAAAACTAATCATGTTAGCCTTGAGTTTTTAGAGGCATAATGTTGGTCCCCTGATTATGCAACTTTGCCTCCATTTAAGCTACTTCGTATCTCTTACTGTTTCCGAGATCTCTGTAGTAAAAAGCGAATTTGTAACAGCCTGTTTCCCTTCTACTCTTTTGTAATTTAGTTAAGGAAAATGTTGCATTTAGTACCTAATTATTTATACCTACCTATCTCATTTTTTGGATGATTAAATAAATGCAGTAATAATTAATACAATTTTATTTCAGTAACATACAAACAAATAATATATAATTACATTTTTTATTTACATCTCGGTAAACAACATAACTTATCTCTATTATCAGTAACAATCATGGCACATTACAGTGTTGTGGGTTTTTACACATTTTTAAGAGGAACACATCTTTGGATGGGCAAATTCTGGTCGAAATTGGGCAGGATTAGAGATACCTCCAATACAATTTAAAATATAAAATTAACTTATTTTAACATTACTTGGGTGCGTGGCGAGGTTAGGATAGGGATTATCCATTAGGCTAATTAAGAAATTTCTAGTGTCCCTATGCAAGATGATCCATTAAAAGTAAATAGGCGGTTGGTCTTTATTTCTAAATTAATACAATTTTATTATACATTATTAAAATGAACATTTTACACAGTCTCACATGGAAGTGTAGGTACTAAATTTTGGATATTTAAAATTACTGGAAAAATATGAATTTATCCAAAAATTAGTTTTTGTAACACCTTTTTAGAGACAAACAAATAGTCCAGTCCTCATCACTGTTAAATAACAACAATTGTACTTCAAGGAATTAAATTAAAATATTTAACATGCACAGGGTGTTTCTGAAATAAGTCGTTCGTTGAAAAGGATGAAGAGGGCGCGAAATTGACCAACTTTTAGTGTCAACTGATGCTTCTGCTTTCGAGAAAATTAATTGAGAAAATTAACAATAAATGTAAACCGACCCTGTGCATCTAGTGCACGTGTGTTGTGTTTTGTAATATTACTTAACCGGCGTATAAAATGTTTTCTGATGATGATTTATGAGGTTTGTTATTATTACAGACGACAGTGCAAAGGTTATGGGTTGTCGGGAATGTCCACCTGACATATGAAGGTCGCAACGTCTTTTCGCGACCACGAAGAAATCAACATAAATCTCGTTGAGGAAGATCTGAGGCGCAGTACTCAGTACCTACATTGACCGAGAAGTGTAGAGCAATTCGTCTATTGCAAGTAATTCGTTTATTCGTTTAATTTTTGTGTTACTTTTAAACCAGGTTTGAATACATTTCAGTATTTTCGAAAACAAAATTTAAACTGTCAAAACCGTAATCGGCGCTTTCACACTGTGGCGCGCGGCAGCTTCGACATCAAATGCTACCGCACCAGGGATGGCTTTAAATTTGTTTAAATCTTCATGTGAAATTAATTTTTTTTTTTCAATTTTAAACGTAATCATCAGTTGCTTAATAAAAGTTGCTTAGGTATAAGGAACGCACTTATGTCAGAAATACCCTATATATCAATACACCTTATATTAAATAGAAGCCTCTATGAAAGTTTAAAATATATTTGTGAATAGTTTTGAAAATAAATTTCAAATATGGGAATATTTATCAAGGTGTCTAAATATCCTCGAACTAAACTTATATTAGTAATATATCATACATTTTTTTTAAATAAGTGAAATAATAATTGATTGATGAATAAATAAAAAAATAAAATATCTAATTTTTTACATTTTTATATAAAAATTATTAATTTTATTTTTGGTGTATTTTTAACTTAAAATAAATACAAAGGTATTAATTACATTTTGCATTGACTAAAATTAATAGAATTTCTTTGTGGTACAGGGGATGTTGTCCAAAATGAATGAATGAAAAAAATTCTACTTAACTAACTTGACCCTTGAAAATTAATTTCTGAAGTTTGTATCTAAAAAGCAATTCAACCTGTTCATAATTGTCATAAAGAAATTTTATTCTTGTTAAATTGTTCTGCCACTTCAAATATTCCAAATAAGTCTGTTACAGTGTTTTTATTTTCATTCTGAGTACTACTATTTCGAGAAAGGGGAGATACCGCTTTTTCCAGACTTTTTTTGTGTACAGTACCCTTGAACATTTGTTTCAGAAACAATCTGAAAATGATTTTTTTTTCTCCTCATACAATCATAAGTAATCTACAAAAGGGACAATTTCTTAAATCAATAAATTGAAGAAGGAAAACAATTTCTTAAAATATATCATATCTGGGATATAAGATATTTTTGTTAAAGCTACATTCATTATACAGGGCGATCCATAACTTATCCAAAAAAATTTGGGAAGAGATGAGTCATGGAAAATGAGTCAATATCTTTAAAAAAAAATTGTAAAATCCTTATCGTTTCCTTGAAAAAAATTATTGAAGTTGTTGTACTTTAAACCATTACATAGCTGGACAACTGTAGTCTCTAGCGTCATTCGTAATATGCGCGGAGAGCCACGTGGAGGCATCAGCGACTCGGAATACTGAAATCCGATTTTACAATCGTCGTTGCGATAGTGTTTACAGTAGATTTTTAGTAGTTAAAAATGGCTTGTGTGTATACCAACTCGAAGTTGATGAACATCGTTTTAATTTATGGTGAAGCAAGCATTTTTATTATGGTGGCATGTTATAAAACAAATTTGTAAAATCCTAGTTTCCAAGAAAAAAAATATTGAAATTGTAGTCCTTTGCTCTCTCTCTCTCTCTCCACGTGGCCCCAGGCTATTCCGAGTACTGAAATTCGATTTTAGCATTAACATTTTTACGATAGTGTTTACATTAGTTTTTCAAGTGGCAAAAATGGCTTATGTGTATAGCAACTCGGAGTTGATGAATATCGTTTTAATTTATGGCAAAGCAAGATAATATTTATGTTATGGTGAAGCAAGACAACATTTGTGTTAGGTCGTAGAAAGTGAGTAAGACAGGACCAAATGTGTTAACATACACATAGGTGGACAAAATTTTAAATCAGTTGTTCTAACATCAAGGTATGTCAAATTATTTTATTAATTAAAACCACAAATTAATTAATTGAATTAATAATCACAATAGAGGCAAAAGCAGTTGAATTTGATTTAAAATTTTAATTTTTTCTTTCCTTCGGAAAGAAGTTCTTTAAATTTTTTGTCCGTTCATTTTTCATTACACTTTGCCGCCGTGCTAGCCGCCGGCTGCATGCTTTACTTTGCGCAAGGTCAGATTTTACAGTGAACCTGTTTCCATTGCCATGCACATTGCTTAAATAATTTTCGAACTGCCCTTTTTAATTTTTTTTACAAAATTGTTTTTGTAAGAAAGAGTCCCCTGTACATTAAAAATTTTTTTTTGATAAGTTCTGAATCACCCTGTATTTTATAAACGGTAACTGAAATTAGAATTTGGATAATATAGCATCACCAGTGACGATACATTGTGTTGAGAAATATACACACCCCACATTTTTTTCCCCATAAATACTAAGTAAAATATCATTTGTTTTTTTGTCGTGGTTTAATTTAAGAAGAAAGTACGATTATATCGAATCCTTGATTGTATATTAATGTAAACTAAGTTTTTCTTCTGTAATTAAATTATGTTTTCAACTAAAAAACTACCAAGAGGCATTTTTCTTAAAGGAATATAGACATCGCTTCTAATAGGCAATTCAAATTTTGGTTCTAGTCAACAAATGTCTTTCATATACAAGATACTTGTATGACTTTTGAAAAAGAAATCAAAATTTGAAATTTGAAACGGGAATTTTAAAACATGTTAAACTGTATAAGTTTGAGAAGTTATCTCTTTTATTTATTTTAAAGTGTTTGAAAGACACTGTACTGAAATCATATAAATAAGATGACGATTGCCTCATGTATAGATTCACCATGTTCCTTTCATTCTTCACTTATTTTTCCGTTATTATCAGTCAGTTATGTTCCTCAGTTCAGCGTCGTTATGGTCTAATTATATTTGTGTCGAAAATTCGAAAATTTCTGTAAAAAAAATAACTATTATTATTTTAATTTTTACACAAGGTATCTTCTACTATAATAAATAAGTAATGAAAAGGTTCAAATTGAGCCGTATTTAGATGGTTTATTTGTCTCTTTTTGGTGTAAAAACGCAATGCGCATAGCAATGTCACCCATTTGAAAGGAAGGTAAAGCTCATGAACATACGGTTTTAAATTGTTTTATTATCTACATGTTGAAAATATGTTTTTTTGGAAACAAAAGAAAAATTTATGAAAATTTCAAAAGTAAGAATATAAATAAAGTGTCCTAATTATCAGATATACATGCACGAAACTGGAAATTTGAATTAAAACCATTTCTGAAAATAAAATGTTCCTACAAACCATAAAGTTATGCTACAAAGAAAAGGCAAGAAAAGCACTTGATAAGCGATTTTATCCAAAAGTAGAACATCAACCTTACATTTTGTCTGTCACTCCAGTAAATACGAAAAATTCAAAAAAAGTATCAATCAATCAATGGAAACGTGGGAATGTGTTACGTATGTTACCTACTTATCTGCTCGAGAGGTTTCTGGCGTCCCCTAACCGCCCGGTGCCTGGGCCCCTTTCAACCCCCACTAGATTCACACCGGGGTAGTCCTCCTCAAGGTGCCATAACTTTGCCCCGCACCGTTCCTAGAGGCTATGCTGACCATACTGGGAGCCCTCAAAGGGAGGGGCTGGTCTAGATTGAAGGTCACAAACTCGTGTTCGTGCTGGATGTTCGGCGAATATTCGTCAAAAGGTTCATTCAAAAACTCCTCACACACCAAGTCAGCAGTCGTGCTGACGGTATTGGTAGTCACGTCCCGGGGTATGGGAAAGTTCCTCAACTCGTTCTTACTAAAATGTTCGGTAAACTGATAGGATATGGTGGGGGGTGGAGGGAAATCGTAGAAATTGGACACGTCTTTCAAAGAGTTCGACTGAGACCGGTTCCTGTGAACACTACAAGGGGACTCTTGGAAGGGTTCCTTCCTGAAGTAGAACCGCTTTGGCCCTGCCGGACTCGGAGGAAAATGCACGGCACTGTTCGAGTTGACGTACGCCTGGGGATGGCGTCTACAAGGGTAAAACATAGTGGGGTCCACCTGGTGGTTGTAGTTGTTCATCGGCTGTTGCTGTCTCTCTCCTCTCTTGAACTCCTCCAGTTGTTTCCGCCTCCACTCATACTGGACGCGGTAGATGAAGAGAAAGACGCTGGAGACGCCCGTTAGCTTGGCGCTGATGACGCCGGTGACGTAGAGGAGGAACGAGTAGCCGTAGGCGTAGTCGAAGGTTGGAGGGTGCAGGTGGGACCTGGGGCGCAGCTTGCTGCCGATTTCCGACTTGAAGATAGAGATGTACATGATGAGACCGAACAGCATCACCAAACCTATAAAAATGTGGCATTAATGCAAATAATATAGGATATAAAAAAGTTTCACGGATGAGACCCATGCCACTCTAATTGCACCCGCAGAAAATTTTTTTCAGTATTCAGTAGGATTCTTTTTGGGCACAATCCTGGAAACAATTCAACACATATTCGACGAACTCATTATTTATTTTGAGTATTGAGACTCAATTGGCTCTTGCAATCCTTCAGTCTCGTGCAAACATCAGGAAACCATTATGAAAATCTAAAGTCAGCTAAAATTCACAAACTTAAACTAAAAATTTCCGACCTCGAAGCAGCCAGATCTACTCACCCTACACAGTAGAAAAGTGAATAATAGTGAACCTAGTATTGCATGCATATCCAGGGCATATTAAAACAAAATCAGTCCTGCAACCCTGCAGTTTTATAACGGTATCTGAAGCTCGAAAGTCTCAAAATCTTCTACTGCTTTGCTTTAGTGGGTTTCTCTTTCAATGCAATCCAGTACAGGATTTTATCTGAAGCAGTTATTTCCCTAATAAAGGAAAAAGAATAACTAAACAAACAGTATGTTGACGCATTGTAGTCTTTAGAGATAGTGTTTTAACTGAGTTGATTGAAGAATTATCAGATGTTTCAGGTTTGAAAGCGTACTATGATAATCATTGGCGAAAAGGCTTATTTGCAGACTAACGTCCAAAGAGAAACAAACTCACTAAATGTAAAATAGCAGATTTTACAGCTTGGGGAGTAGTAGGTTTCTGGAATCCATAAAGAACTGTATGGTTTAGGATTACTGTCTCTGGGTGGTAAATTCGTTGTTTCAGTTTGTGACTTAAATTCGCAAAATGCAGAATTTTATTATCCAGATTAGGTTATATAGCTGGTTTTCTGGTGTTCATGAGCCTCATGAATATGATACGTCGTTTCCAGGGTCATGCCCTGGGTTAAACCTACTACATGTGGCGTTTTGGTTGCAACTTTAATTAAAGAGGTAGTTTTTGATAATAAAAAGAAGACTGGAGGGTATTGAAGCATTTCCCATGGGTCTCAGTCGTGGAATCGTAAACCACTTCTTCTGTATATTTGTCATTGTTTTCTTTTAATCTCTTTTTTCTAGTTGTACATGTCATATACAGGGTGTCCCAGACTCAGCGTACAAAAATTTACCAAGGGGTAGACCAGCCAAAATAAGATTAAAATTCTTATAAAATATTTTTCTGCGATGCACTCTCACTGAGTTACAGGGTGTTGTTTAGAAAAAAATAATAACAACTTTCCGCAATAACTCAAAAACCCTTTCAAGAATTTAAATAATTTTTGGATGAAGTGTACATCTATTTAAGGTCATTAAAAACTACATTGTGGTTATTTCGATCTGACGGCAGGGGTGGCCTAGGCCAACTTGTCCTCAAGGTTATGTCTTCATAACTTTTGCATATCCTACTTTTATGTAATTTAATTACGTTTTCCTGAACCTGCAATCGATTCTGAACAAATGGAAAAACAAATGAAATGTGCTCTTGTTTCATAGCTCAAAAATGAACCGTTTTCGAGTAAATTGGGTCTAAACATCGCCTGCATTAATTCATAGAAAAATGCATGTAAAGATTGTATTTGTTGTTATCTAGTAGGTACCTGTCATGATTAAAAAACAAAGTTGTTTACAAGCGTACATGTCAAAATTAATTACAGTACTCGAAGTTACGATAAATTAAGTTTACAAAACAGCAAGATATTAAGTATTATGGAATTTTGTTACAACGAATATGCCGATATAATACTTGTCTGCGGTTTCTGTGATGGAAATTCATTGATGGCGTCACGAGAGTATCTACACAGGTTTCCAAACAGAAGGCAACCTTCACAGCACGTATTCCAACGAGTTTTCCAAAGAGTCCGTGACTGGGAGTGTTAAAATTGGAAATACTAGAATAAGAGGTAATTTGGAAGAAAATGTACCTAATAGCTGCTATTGTTGATGATCCTTCCACCAGTGTCCGAAGAATATTAGCGTAAGTAGGTACTCCACGAAGCAGTCTAGAGAATTTTAAATCGAGAAGAAATGCCCCATACCATCTACATAAAGTACAAACTTTGCATCCTGATGATTCCGAAAAAAGGATACAATTTTTGCAGATGGTTGTTAGAAAATATCTATAATGACGAAAATTCCATCAAAAGATATTGTGGAGCCATGAAACTATCTTTACGAGAAATGCTATAAATAATTTAAAAAATTTTCATGTCTGATCCATTGAAAATCCGCATGTGATATGACCCTCCGCGTTTCAAAGAAGATTCTTCATAAATGTCTGAGGAGGAATCTTCAACGGAGTCATTCTGCCTCTTCAAATTATTGTAGACCGTTTGAGTTCAGAGATACACGGACTTTTTAGAAAATTTGATGGCGTACTAGATGACGTTCCCTTAGCTTTGCGAAATCAAATGTACTACCAACGAGATGGAACACCTATTCGTAACGGAAAAGTATAAAGGTATCTGCGTGGCTCGATTTACATTTTCCAAAATGCTGGATTGGAAGAAATGGAGCTATTATGTGGCCTCCCAGGTTCCCTGACCTCAACCCGCTTGATTTTTTTTACTGGGATCATATGAAGCAACTGGTGTATGCCAAACCCAATCACATGAGAAACGATTTACTTCAAAAAATTAATGTAGCCGCCGAGCAAATTCAAGTAACCGTTGATTTGCGAAGGGTTTACATTCCTTGGTCAAACGATGTCGGGCATACATTGAAGTAAATGGACAGCATTTCGAGCATTTATTGAAATAATTGTTTCCTATTTTTATTTTTAATATTGTCATTTCGCTAACACAATTTCTTTTCTGTTACATAATTTTCAATTTTATTTTTAGTTCCCGTACAGGTAACCAAATATTAAATAATTCGTAGAAAACTTGTTTAGTTTCTTCATATTCATTGTGCCGCAGCTACATTGGAAACTGTACCTCAACGGCAAACAACTTTGTTTTTTTATAATGACAGGTACCTACTAGATAACAAGAAATAAAATCTTTACATGCATCTTTCTACGAACTAATGCAGTCGATACTTTCGATCCAATTTACTCGAAAATGGTTCATTTTTGAGCTATGAAACAAGAGCACATTTTTTGTTCAGAATCGATTACAGGTTCAGGAAAACGTAATCAAATTACATAAAAGTTATGAAGACATAACCTTGAGGACATGTTGGCCTAGGCCGCCCCTGGCGTCAGATCGAAGTAACCCCCATGTAGTGTTAATGACCTTAAATAGATGTACACTTCATCCAAAAATTACTTAAATCCTTGAAAGGGTTTTTGAGTTATTGCGGAAAGTTGTTATTATTTTTTTCTAAACAACACCCTGTAACTCAGTGAGAGTGCATCGCAGAAAAATATTTTATTTATTTAAGAGTTTTAATCATATTTTGGTCTGGTCTACCCCTTGGTAAATTTTTGTACGCTGAGTCTGGGGCACCCTGTATTTAGTTTGATAGTTTGTACAATATTTTGGTTTATCACAGCGTGGGTATGTTTTGCACTGTTAAATTTACTAAACAAATCTTTAGATTCTCCATTAAAAAATATATATCTTATCATAAAACATATTTTTAATACCTTAATCTTGTTCTAGACAAATGAGTGTTTTCTTTAATGCCTTTTTGCCCACTTTGTTGATAGCACTTCGTTCAATATTTTCTCCTTTACGTTCTCCAAATTGCTAGATTTTTGTCTGTCTACTGTATCTTTTAAAATCCTCCAAAGAAGTAACTTCATTGAGATCAAGTTAGATAGCGGATCATAGTGTTTAAAAATTTGTTTAGTGAATTTAATGCAGTAAATCATAAATATGCACTGATTCTATAGCAACCTTAACTTTATTCATTGCGGAGGATCAGTAAATAAACCAAAAATTAAGCGAGACATATACAGGGTGCTCTATTTAAAAAACATAAAACACACCACAGAAATGAGACAACCCCCAAATCCAAAAGCCAAAGGCTTGTGCGGAAGGGGGCTACACTTGAAAAAACGCGGACAAACACCCATTATCCATCGACATTGCCAGTGCCGACACCGGGGATCGAACCCGGACCAGAGTAGGAAGCCTAGCCGAGAAATGCTTGCCACCGCACTCTCGACCGGCTGCGCTACCGTGGCGTAAAAAAATAAATTAAAATTAATAATTAAAAAAATAAATTTAGGTTTTGTATTTTCCAAACGCAACATCCAATTTTATTAGATATTTCTTTGACACCGTATCAAAATTTTCTAAAACCTTGGTCATCACCATTTTGTCCTAGAAAGAAAGGTAAAACTATAAGGGGGGGTAAAATGTTATGTGTGTGTGAATAACCCTGTATTTAATAAACATGTTCATAAATTAGAGTGATAAATGGTGTAGTTAAAATTATATTGCGTGTCCCAAAATTAAGGCAAGATTTGCGCCATTTGCGAGGTAAAGTGTTGCCAACGAAAAAAAAAGAGTGCCCGACATCTGACAGTTCAAGGTTATTAATAATGGAGCGCTACACGAAAGAACAACGCGGATTCATTGTTGAGCAATAGTTTAAAAATAATGGTTTGGCAGCTACAGTTTGCAGTTTCTCTACGAAATATGGTCGGAATAGTGATTTCGCTTCATCAACTGTGAAGAGATTAATTGAAAAATTCAGGGAGACTGGATCAATTATTGACCTTAAACACCCTGACCATCCTTCAACAAGGTGTCCAACACAAAACATTGAAACAGTTCCTGAGAGTGTTGCTGAGAGTTCAGAACATCAATTCGGCACCGTTATCAAGAATATGACATTTCGAGAAGCTCTTACAGCGTATTCTTACAAAAGCTTTGCATCTTCATGTTTACATATTTTGGACAAAGTCATCTTCAGCGATGACTTGATGACTTCGTTAATCGGCAAAATTGTCGCATTTGCGATTCAGAAAGTCCACGAGTGATTGTTGAGAAGCAAATGCATCTACAAACTGTTTGGTGCGAATTTT